TCCATTGCTAGCTCACGTCACAGAAAAGAAGATGTGAAACTTCGGTCTTATAACTGGTTTGGCTTCGGGTCTAGATTTTGTTGTTCGCTGATCGCTGACAACGTTAAAACCTAATTGCATTATACAAAACTGTTTCTGATTATTTAAAGGTGGGCCCGTCCGTATCCATATTCTTGTGTGAAATCGGGACATGAATTTAGCCAGCGTTCCACCAAGAACTTCAAAATCGCCCGAAGCCAATGATGAAACCACGGATTGAGAAATGCGTTTTAAGCATTGATCTCCATATGGAGATCAATGGTTTTAAGTCTGGTTCCGGGCTTAGCATTACATGCTATAGAACCACAAGGTGGGAGTCCGCGACACGGTGTATGTTTGTTGTTTCATTATGGAGGAAGGAAACAGACTGCCGCTGTATCTAAACGTACATTATTCGCGAACATTAACGTGACGTGAACAAAAACTGGCAACGCGAACGGCGCAGCGTAAGTCATTGCAAATATTTTTCGCAAGTAAGTTTTGCTTTTATTTTGGGACTCGAGTCTTATTAGCCTTCCTCGAGTCGAGTCGAGTCATTCTGATGAGGGACTCGAGTCGAGTCGAGTCATTTGCTCGCAGTGACTCGAGTCGAGTCGAGTCATTTACCCGTCGGGACTCGAGTCGAGTCGAGTCGCCAAAAAATGTGACTCGAGTCGGACTCGAGTCGAGTCATTGACTCGAGTCATTACAACTCTGGCCATCTTACGGAACATTATTACAGACAACCAAATCCTGAACCCGAACCAACACGCTTTCCAGAAAGGCTTGTCATGTGAATCCCAGCTCGTCATGACCATGCAAGATCTGGCCAGTAATTTCGACAACCAGATAACTACAGATGTTGCAGTATAGACTTCTCGAAAGCTTTCGATGTCGTCCCTCACAAGAAGCTAATCCAAAAAAATGGGTATTAGGCCAAAAAAAAAAGTCTCCGGTTTCTGGTATGGAGCTTGCCCCAAAAGTGGTGCGGCGACGCGGCTTTTTTTTTTTTTTACCTGTTTTTTTTTGGGGGGGGGGGGCTTCAAATGTCGGCTGATGACTGCAAATGGTGCCCGACTAAACTTAGTGCAAATATATGGGAGTCCAGAGAGGCCACATAAATCTTATTCTCGATCATAACCCCATCTAAAAACACGTTAAAATTGTGCAGCAGCAGAATTCCAGTCAAACCAGTGAGTTTGGCGGTTTTGAAACAAAATCTTGTATTGAAAAAAAAACTTTTTCATTTTGCCGACGCGCATGGCTACGGCGACGCGCGCGCATACCAGAAACCGGAGACTTTTTTTTTTGGCCTTATGGAGTTAGAGGTAAAACTCAGAACTGGATTAAATCATTTCTGACAGACAGGCTACAACGGGTGATGGTCAATGGTGAAACGTCCAAGCATGGGCGTCGCGAGGGGGGGGGGGGCAAGGGGGGGCACTTGCCCCCTCCCCCCCCCGGAAAAGCCAAAAAAAAAAAAAAGGAAGAAAAAAGAGAAAAGAAAAAAAAAGAAAAAGAGGCGCGAAGACAAAGTGGTGTAAATTTAATGAGGGGGGGGGCAAAATGTCCCTGCCCCCCTCTAAAACTGATAAATCGAGAATGTGTTGAGAAATACAAGCATTTTTTGGCAAAAAAAATGTTTGCCCCCCTCTAGAAAAAAATCCTGGCGACGCCCATGCGTCCAAGTGGCATCAAGTATTAAGTGGCGTTCCGCAGGGAACAGTCCTGGGACCGCACTTGTTTCTGCTCTTCATAAATGACATCAACGACTCTGTGGGTGGAACACGACTTTTTGCTGATGACTGTTTGATGTACCGCAAGATTCATTCTCCATCCGATGAGCATTCATTCCGGAAAGATCTTTATACCTTGGCTGACTGGGAAGATACCTGGGGTATGAAATTCAATCCAAGCAAATGCAGTATCATGAGAATCTCCAGAAAAAAAGGGACTCGGTAAAACCATCATACACCATGTTAGGGGTAAATCTTGAAGTAAAAGCTGAGATCACTTATCTCGGTATCATCGTCCAGAATAATTTGAGTTGGAACCGCCTGACTGAACGTGCAGCCTATAAAGCCACCCGTGTCCTCAACTTCATCATGAGAAACTTCTACCCAGCCTCAAAGTCCGTCAAAGAGAAATTATATTTCACCCTGGTTAGGCCCCTCCTTGATTATGGGAGTACTGCTTGGAACCCATATGCCACCAAAAACATCTCTTCACTTGAAAGAGTCCAGAGGCGAGCTGCACGTTTCGTCTGCAAGGATTTTTCAGGAAGAAGCAGCGTGACTCAGATGTTGGCTACCTTGGGCTGGACATCACTTGAAGAGAGGAGGGAATCAAACCAACTAGTATTTTCTTCAAGGACATCAACAACACAACATTCAATCAGATGCACTGCAACCGAAAAGTAACACACAAAGGAGGGGGAACAACTGCCAATTTGATGAAATTACCGCAAGAACCAATGTCTACATGCAATCCTTCCTACCAAAAACAGTCAGAAAATGGAACAAATTACCCCAAGATGTCATCAATGCCCCAAACCACAATCAATTCAAATCCTCGATTTAGTTGAATATGCCACTCTCCAAGCCTCTTAGTTAGACTTCCTCGAGAATTTCTGAAGAGGATAACCACCAATACCAAGTATTTCTGAATGGGAATAAAAGAGTGATGACCTCAGTCTTAACGAATCCCGGTACATACCGTTATTTCGTTTTACCGTTTTGGATTTCCTCAAAAACAACAACAGTAAACAAACCATTTACCGTTTTGTCGTTTTACAATTACAGTTTTGTAAAACGGTCAAACGGTATTAAGATAAATACGGTTAATTCCGTTTTAGCAGTTTAGTAAAATGCATTACAGCACAACGATCAATGATTTTTGTTTTACAGTTGTACACAAATAACTTTGAAAAACAGCAAAACGGCCAGTATTGAATACAGACTGTTTTTTTTTTTATATTTATTCCAGTGAAGTCGTAGTTAAAACCAGTCAGTGGTGCATTTTGTGGCGGTGGGCAAGGGGCCGGGGTGGAGGGGGTGGGGGGGGGGGGGGGGAACATGCCGTGCACGAAGAAGTGTTACCGTGGTTGCGTGATGTGATTCTTGGAGTGACCCTGACCCCATTTACTGCGATTTAGTTGGTTGGGTTTAAAGAGTTGCAAGCAAAAATGGCGCTGGGAACTTTCAAGGAGGAAATTTCACAATGGATACAGGATGGTAAGACGTACGAAGAAGTTGCAGATATGTTGAAGGAAATTGGAGTTCGACGCGGCTCTCCAATAGCCACTATTCGCAAATTCTGTCGCGAGAACGACTAAAATAAATGTAGGGAGGGCAACAATCCCGGGACATACCGTTATTTTGTTTTACTGTTTTGGATTTCCTCAAAAACAAAAACAGTAAACGAACCATTGACTGTTTTGTCGTTTTACAGTTTTGTTAAACGGTCAAACAATGACCTTTTTGTAATTAAATTGTAAAAAGCGATAAACGGTTAGTTGCTTTATTGTTAGAGTGTTGTTTTACAAAAAACATGACAATGACAAATCGGTCAATAGTCTTGTCGACCATTTTTTGATTCAGGTTTGGCAATTAAAGGTCGGTTTTCACGGGGCACGCGAACGATTTGCGAAGGATGCGAATGTCGAAAAAAATGGCAAAGTCCAACATTCGTCCAACATTATGCTGCAAAGGGTCGCCAAACCATCGCGGGGGTTCGGAAGCATCGTCAATTATTCGCGGGCGTCGTTGTTAGTTCGGCGGGAATTTCAAAAAAAAATTGAAATTTCTTGCGAACGTTTCCAGCATCCCGGGTCGTGTTTTGCTCGTGAATTGTTCTCAAAAATGTCTTAAAAGCTTCGTCATATGCGCGGGACCTACTCAAGACGTGCGCGATGTTCGCAAACTCTTCGTAAATCCCCAAACAGACCCCGACAATTTGGAGAATGTCTCGCGCAAGAAGCGAAGTTCGCCCTAATATTTCTCGACCTTTCCGCAAACTTTTTGCGTATACTTCTTGAGACATTCTCACGAACGTTTGGTGCACGTTTGCCGGCAAATCCACACCACGTTTGACCTATATAAACGGCGCACGACTATTGGAACATAAGCGTTGTTCGCAGTTAAGTCGCGTGTTCTTCGTGTATGTGGACTGGCCGTAGTTCAGTCACGGTACACACGACATTCGCACATACATGTACGTTGTGAGAACTTCGCACAAACTGCGCAAGAATGGGGGATTGATTTTAGCGGCCGTTTAAAACCTTGCCGAGTCGTGGCCGTGATGACTTGCAGGACACAGGTCACGCAAAATCTATCCAATCAGAGGGTAAATTCATAAGTGTATCCCGTCCTCTTTGCACGGAGCGGGCTGGGGTACGACTCGACACCACTGATCTCTATATAAAGACTGGATAGCTAATAAAGAGCCGCACAATGTACGAATTTGACGCCATATTGGTGAGACCGGCTGGTGATCTACAAAGGACAAGTTGTCGTTTTTATAGACAGCATGATTTCTTTTGTAACGTCGCGGTTCACTTGACTTATATTTTGACCACCATCACTGACCAAGGTTAACTACAATTTTTCTAACGTCGTGGTTACTAAAATGCCGCAAATATAACTTTTTCGGCGTTTTGAAATAATAATCACTACGGAAATGTGTCCCTTTTAGAACATCATAATATGTGTACGTGACCAAAATGCGCGTCAACTGTTGATACAACGCGCGCGTATTTACGCGTAGAACGTTCGTGTTATACGCGGCCATCTTTGTGAGACCGGGGCGAATTGGTCAATATGCAAAGTCTACTGTGTGAATGTTGTATGCATATCCGCTATCAAGTCTTTATATAGAGATCAGTGCTCGACACCCTGGAGACGAGGTTGCGTGCGCCTTATTTTAGAAAAGCCCGCCCTCTACAATATAGTGCCGATCTTCCAAATCATTTCGTGGAGCAAAGAAAAGCTAAACAAACACATATCACCGTGGTTTTGTTTACACTATACATGCTAAAGGAAAAATCCTGGTTTATGACATCGACAATGCATGATGTCTTCTTCATCTTCTTCTTCCAGTTGAGCGCTAACTTCACAATTGAAGACTACAGCACTTTTGATGGGCGTGAAGTCAAACTGGATGATGATGCCTAGCGGCGATATCCAGTCAACTTTCTGAGATTCTGAGATGTGAGAGACGTTTCATTTTTAGTTAGGGGGGCCTAGAGCCCCATGTATTTTCGTACGTAATTACTTGGTACATTTTTAAATTGTACTTGGTTGGTTTCCTCCTGAAACATCCTCTACTCTAGCATGTCTAGGGATCTTGACTGGGAGGTCACGGGGAGGTGTTGGCATCTAGGTCTCGGTCACGATTAGCTCTACTGAGTGGAGCGCTGAATTACGGGTACCCCTCCATACTAGCGCTCCACCGATTCACCATACTTTGGTAGCACCATCACAGTAGCATAGTCAAAAACCCACGCGAGGACAAAAAGACCCCAAAAAACCGGTAAAGAGATTACAGATGAGAGAGACAGTTATCCTGGATTGATCTATACATTCTTGACATCCCATGAGACCCCTTATATTGTTCCCAAACAGCGAACATTTTGGAAAAAAACAGGAAAATAGTCTGAAAACTTACAGTTCAATGTGTTTGCATGGAGGTTCAGTTCTTGAATTAGCTTGTCGCTGAGGGCGTCTGACGTGACGTCACCGTCGTTGCTCGATCGATCGCGAAGAAAAACAAGTCGTGCTTTATCAGCGACTGTTTCGTGTAATAATACGTGCTCCGATCCGCGCCGCGCCGTACGACAGTATGGGCTTTGAACACACCCAAGGAGCACGTATTATTACACAAAACAGTCGCAGATAAAGCGCGACTTGTTTTTCTTCGCGATCGAGCAACGACGGTGACGTCACATCAGACGCCCTCAGCGACAAGCTAATTCAAGAACTGAACCTCCATGCAAACACATTGAACTGTAAGTTTTCAGACTATTTTCCTGTTTTTTTCCAAAATGTTTTCTGTTTGGGAACAATATAAGGGGTCTCATGGAATGTCCAGAATGTATAGATCAATCCAGGATAACTGTCTCTCTCATTTGTAATCTTTTTACCGTTTTTTTGGGGTCTTTTTGTCCTCGCGTGGGTTTTTGACTATGCTACTGTGATGGTGCTACCAAAGTATGGCGAATCGATGGAGCGCTAGTATGGAGGGGTACCCGTAATTCAGCGCTCCACTCAGTAGAGCTAGGTCACGATGTGGTTAGAAGTGACATGAGGCTCCACGTAGTGGAGCCTCATGTCATACTCATAGGCAGATTACCCCGCTAAACTGTTTGCTATACAAAACACCAACTAAGTACAAAAAAGTCCATCCCAACCAAGCTTTTTCCCACAGAACCGCAGCACAGTTTGCCCCTAAACTCCGTACAATACCTCATGACATACTCACGTTAGGCCAAAAAAAAAATAGTTCTGCTTCCGATTACATGCCTTTCAAAAATAGGGTCGGTCGGTTGGAAATTGTTTTTTTTTTTGCCAATTTTGTTTATGCAGATTGAATGGGGTATTCAATTATATGCGACGTTTTAGCCTGAACTATTTCTATTGCACTATGAAAGCTTTACACGAAATGGCAACAAAAAGTGAGTAAAACCTACCTTTAATTATTGTCAATATATTTACGTTCGATAATTTCAAAAAATAATGGAAAACTCAGGCCGTTCGCACCATATGCACAACGCTAGTCAAGACGCGGGGAGCTGGCCAAAACTCCGAGGTGTGTGATGCGTGCGTGTGTGGCGAGCGGCCCACCATGGGCCGACAGACCTGTTTTTACGGGCAACAATTTCGGGAAACACGCGGCATGTATCACTCCAAATACGAGTAGTGCGATCTCAAAATGAACTTTTGAACACAGAAAATACATACACAGACAAGCTAGATCAATTCTGTAAATTAACTTGCAAAAATGTTCTTTCTCCATCGGTGTTTTCTTGGCATTTTTACGATGTCGAATCCGACCAGTTGACAGTGGCCTGCACTGTACTGATAGCGCGCTATCGGTCACATAGCTAGCTATGGACTGGTTACCGCATTTTCATTATGTCTTCTAAATTGGCCCCTGCGCGGCGCGGTGGGAACCAGTCGTCGCCACGTGATTATAGTCACCGTGCGTGACATCGGATTGCGAAGAAGTTATATCGCGAAGCGAATTTGTAATAACGGAGGTTTCTTTTGAAAAAAGCGAATGTAAGTAAGAAAACAAATAAATACAAGCATTTTTGGATGCAAAAGGGTTGTTGAGAGGTATTTTGTGATACAAAATATTTTGTGAATTTTTTTGTTGTTGGAATTGCCGATAAAATGTTTAGGGTCGCAGCCTAAAAATAGGGTCGGTCGGGTAACCGGAAGCAGAACTATTTTTTGGGGGGGCCTTATGTGCACCAAACAAACATCGGAGGATTCTGTCGGTTTTTCGGCAAAAATGATGAAAAATATGCCCTTTCCGCACTGAGCCAACCTGACACTTGAAACGTGCACGCGCGCATAACGATCATAGTCATTTTTGGTTCGATCGCTCAGAGCGCGCCGCGGGGGGTACGGTAGGAGCGGAACGATAATATGCGCATGCGTACAAGTGCAAGTACGTACCCCCACGGCGTGCTCCGAGCGATCGAACCGAAAATGACTGCGATCATTCTGCGCGCGTGCACGTTTCAAGTGTCAGGTTGGCTCAGTGCGGAAAGGGCATATTTTTCATCATTTTTGCCGAAAAACCGACAGAATCCACCGATGTTTGTTTGGTGCACCACGGAGTAGTATGTCATGAGGTATTGTACGGAGTTTAGGGGCAAACTGTGCAGCGGTTCTGTGGGGAAAAGCTTGGTTGGGATGGATGTTTTTGTACTTAGTTGGTGTTTTGTATAGCAAACAGTTTAGCGGGGTAATCTGCCTATGAGGCTCCACTACGTGGAGCCTCCACTACGTGGAGCCTCATAGTTCTAGGAGTAGTTGTAATATAGGTTTTCCCGGTTATTTTTACACTTGTATCACACGAATTCCCTATATCGATACTTTAATCCAAGCTCAATTCTCAATTTGAATTTCAAAAAGCCACCACTAGATTTCATTTAAGGTTCAGTATAATTCAAACTGTTAGCATTCCAATTCGTCCAAAGTCTTTGAAATTCGTCTCATGAAGCAATCGGCGTTAAATTGACAAAGCAAATTCGTTTTTTCTCATTCGTTTTCATGTTGTCATTACATTTCATCCCTGGTGACGTAAATCGTATACGATTAGAAAATGCGCCCGATCTTTAGACTTATTTGAAGAATTATGCGTATTAAAACAATGATAATTCAACATATATTTCCTTATATGTATAAATAAAAGTAGTTAGCTGTAAGGTATGAATTTTTATTTCTGTGTTTCACAATTAACATTAGAGTCAAGAATTGACATTTCATAATATGCACTTATGGCATGGACACTAAGCATTCAGTTCAAAGACCTTCTTAATGTTCTTTGATAGACATCATACCTTATTTCTGTTGTTTTATTCATAAACATATATCAAAGAGCAACATTACGAAGGTGTTTGATCTTAATGCTTAATTTCCATATGCTAGTATAAAGCAAAGAGCATATTGTGAAAGTTCAATTTCTAAGTTCAATGTTAATTGTCAAAGAAAACTCAAAACCTTAACAATTAAAATTTAATTAATGCGCAAACAAGTCCAAAGTTTGGGCACATTTTTAATCGTAACGTTTTAAGTCAGCAGAGACGAAATGTAACGACAAAAACATTAAAACGAATGACAAAAAACGAATTTGCTTTTTCAATTCAATGCCGATTGCTTCACGAGACGATTTTCAAAGATTTTGGGCGAATCGGAATGCTAACAATTTGAATTATACTGAACGTTAAATGAAATCTAGTGGTGGCTTTTTGAAATTCAAATTGAGAATTGAGCATGGGGATGTTCGCGGACAAAATTAAAGTATCGATATAGGGAATTCGTGTGATACAAGTGTCAAAATAGCCGGGAAAACCTATACTGTCCCTAAGAGGTCTTGTGCGTCAAAGAGTCAGGGATGTGTTGGGGCTAGCTTGAGTAACTCTAGCTTGGGAGTAATCCAGCTCTAATGCCTATCGCATTAGATAGGCATTAGAGCTGGAGTTACTCAAGCTATGTTGGGGCAGGTCATTCCATAATTTAATTGTCCTTGGGGGAAAAAAATGAGTTCTTGAATGCAGTTGAGGATGTTTGTACTATGTTGAATTGGTTGTTGTTCCCCCTCCTGGATCTCTGCATTTTTGGTTGAAGATAGTCTGAAGCATCAATGTCAATGGTGTGAGTGATGATCTTGTAGAGTTGAGTCATCTGGTGGGTTTCCTTCTGTCAGTTAACTTCTCCCATCCAACTTCCAAGAGACGATAACATGTTGGAGACACTACTTTGTCTGGTGTCATCTCCACGAACAAAGCGTGCAGCTCTGCGCTGAATGTTCTCTATCCTAGACTGATGACTGATTTTATAAGGGTTCCATGCTGCTACACCATATTCTAAGACTAAAAGTGGCCGGACAAGTGTGAAATATAACCTTTCCTTTACATTTTTAGAGCTCATGTAGAAATTTCGTTTTGAAGAAGTTGAGGACTCTCGTTGCCTTGGTAACAGCATGCTGTGTCTGATTTTCCCATCATTTTGGATTTTTATGCCCAGGTATGTGAATTCCTTAGTTGCTTCAAGACCCACTCCACCCATCTCATAGGCAGGTTCACCAAGGTTGTGTTTACGAGAAAATCACATACCTTACGTAGTAGCCCATCCAATGAGGTTGTCGAGGTCGGCCTGCAGCAATTTCTAATCTTCATCGGAGTTGATCTGATGGTATATGAGGCAGTTGTCAGCAAATAGCCTGGTAACGCCCCTCACAGCTGATTGAATGTCGTTGATAAAAAGGAGGAACAAGTGCGGTCCCAAAGATTGTTGGAAGATGTGCGCAAAATGGGGGAATTTCATCCGCAGCCAGTTTGAGGGCTCTATTTGATATTTGGTCTGGCCCAGCTGCTTTGGAGATTTAATCAGTTTCAGAACACCTCCCACTGACACTTTTATGACAGGCATGTCAGGGTAACTTCTGTCAGGCAAGCATGGTAGCTGCGACACCTCCTCTCTGGTAAAGATGCTACTGAATTGATTAGCTAGAGCCTCGGCTTTCTCCTCGTCCCCAGTTATGTCAACATCGTTAACCTTGAGGACCTGAACGCCAGAATTATTACTATGCTGTGATTTGATATATTGCCCAAATTTCTTGGGGTCATCAGTAGATGTCATAGCTTCCACATGGGCACGATGAGCTTTACGGAGTTCACTGTCCACATATCTGCGGATGGATTTGAACTTTTCCCAATCGGATTGTTTGCCAGATTTCTTTGCACGGACATAAAATCTCTGTTTTTGTCCTAGTGAGACGCAAAAGATGAGTTGACAACCATCGTGGCCTAATTTTCTCTTTCACAAACTTCTGCGGCACTTATTTTTTAACAATGTTGTTTAGCCCATCCCTGAAGAAGGTCCAATTTGATTCAGTTGTTTTTTTTATCTGGGTTGGCTTGAAAGAAATCTTCCCTCATTTCTGCTGCAGCCACTTGAAAATCCGCTTCCTCCACACTTTTCCACTTCAAGATCCTCCTCGGTGGTTTTGAAACAGGAACAGTTTTGATGGAGATATCAGCCAGGACGATTTTGTAACATGTCGGGTTTTTTTTCAAGCTTCAATGATCAAATTAGGTTTTGCCCTTCACCAATGTATAAACACTGTATACTCAGTGTGTTACCTCCCGAGTGAAAATTGGAAAAAAATCACTCGGGTGTGACTCGAACCCACGACCTCCTGCTTTCTAGTGCAGATGTCTTACCACTCGACCACCAAGCTAACGGGATCAGTTGGCTGAAGGGCAAAACCTAATTTGATTTACATCACCCCGACGCACAAATATTCCATCTTATGAAAAGCTTCAACGAAACATCAAAAAAATAAACATGCACTTTTCAACGTCCATGACTGCATTTGGGAAAGAATGTTGCAACCCTGACGCTACTTCGGCGGTTGTATACAAAGTCTACGGAGAGTGACGAATTTTTTTTAAGTAAGCCTAGTCCTAGTCCCACTATTTTGGGTGCTAGAACTCCTTTTTTGACGTTTGGGATGTTGGTCCGTCGTACTAGCGTCCCATTTTGAGGTATTCTTAATGTTGCAATTTCCAAAGTTCACCATAAAAGTTGCCAAAAATCACGTAAAATACTTGACAAAAATACTTTGAAAGCACCTACTGGCATGACTGGCTTCTCCACATGCATGACATGTCAAAGACGAAGTAATGGGGCTTCAGTGATACTCACAATTATTTTGGGGGTTGCAAATCCGTGATATTCAACCACAGACATCATACAGCGATCATTCAAGAATGTTGTGGCTGTTTTTTTGCAGCGCATTGTCAATGCACTGACGCAGGGGACACAACCGTGACCCGAGTCAGAAAACAAACTCCGCGTGTAGATCGGGGGATGCACCAAGGACTGTTTCATGGCAAGGCAATTGAAACATTGAGAATGCTTCTGTAGTGGGACGCTAGTATGACAGACCAACTTCCCAAAGTTAAAAAAGGAGTTCTAGTGCCCCAGTTAGTGGGACTGAAGTAGGCCCTATTTCCTAACAAAATTGGAAATATTTCTCAGTCCCAGATTCATGTCTTAAAATAAATATCATCATTTTTGCAATGAATTACCTTCATTGAGATTACCCCTACGGTAGTACATGTAATACCCATACTCCATAGGTAGGCATATCAACGCAAACATGCTGTATGAATAATATACAATCAATCCGGAAGTGAGTTTTTGAGCGACCGCTGTATATTTGTATCCCAAGACTATGCCCAGTACTTCTTGACATACTCGCATTCATTTCGCTAACAAGTATAAGGGTTGAATCGATTCCGATGGTGCAAGAAAGTGATGAAAAAAACAGTCCCATTTCCGTACCGAAGCTACAGTTTTCAGTTTTAACGCTTTAACGTGCATGCGAAGCGTTGTTGGCGTGACGTCAGAATAGTCAGAGTCTTTTGGTCTGGGAACCGACCACATACACCATCTATAGCGCATATCGAGGGTGACGTCTGACAAGCCAATCAGGAGGTGCCTCGCGCACTATAAAGACGGTGTCTGTGGTCGGTTCCCAGACCAAAAGACTCTGACGTCACGCCAACAACGCTTTGCGTGCACGTTAAAACTTAAAACTCAAACTGTAGCTTCGGTACGGAAATGGGACTGTTTTTCATCATTTTTTTGCACCATCGGGATCGATTCAACCCTTATACTTGTTAGCGAAATGAATGCGAGTATGTCAAGAACTAACTGGGCATAGTCTTGGGATACATATATACAGCGGTCGCTCCAAAACTCACTTCCAGGTTGATTGTATATTATTCGTAGAGTATACAGCATGTTCGCGTTGATATGCCTACCTATGGGTATTACGTGTAATACCCATAGTTCTAGGGGTGAATTGAGATAGTAAAATTATTATGAAGAAAAAAGTGGCATTGGGTTGCAACATTTTTGCAATATTCTTTCCCACGGATAATAGCTATGACAAAATAGTGTGTGACCATTTTTTTCCATGTTTTTTTTAATCGTTACAGTACACGATTAACAAAAGGCCTACATACATTCCATTGGTCCAGTGACGCCGCGGGTGGTGCTGCTGTCGTTGCACTTGTAAAAGTATTCTATTCTGACGTTGAACTATTAAAACTGCCTGACAATGTCTTCCACGAAAGTCAAGAAGAAAAGAAGTAAAACGGATGGGAATGGGAACATCAGTGATTCCACATCATCCGAAGCAACAGAGGCTAGGCCCGCAGTGTCATACCAGCAGAAGGTACCGTAATTCCCTAATGATTTCTCATCAGATTAATTCATGGTTTTGAAAGAAAGTATGTTTTTGGTCGGGTAATGCAGGTTTTTTTCATCGCTGTTTTACCCCATAATTTCCCTCATGATCAAAACCCTGGCCTCTTTCCACAAAATGAAGCTTGCCAATATTCAACATGGTATCTAAGTGAACTATTTAATAGATGATTCCAAACACAAAGAAGTGGCATCAAGAATGAAACATGTACAAAGTCTGAATGGGATTTGAGTTGAGAAAGAATAAGAACAAAAAGCAGTAAACAAAAAAGTAAAAATCAAAACAAAAACAAAGGCTTTTCCGGAAAGGGCAAAAATGTTATGACTTCATGTACATATGTTGTTCAGGAAGGTTGTGTATTGTGTAGAAGCATTATTCTTAAAATACAGTCGTTTTCCAAGTTCCGGATCGCAATCATTATTCAGTCTGCTTTTTGCTCAACTAATCCACAAATTCAAGTGACATTGGTTAAAAAGTTTACCTTGAGAGTCGCGGGGGGGGGGGGGGGGGGAGGGGGGCAAAGGGGGGCCCTGAGAAGAGCGCGAACGATGGTCTGTGTGCCTTTTCCATTCGTAAAACAGGGGTGTGCAAAATGGTGATAATTAATAGAAATATCCCTTTATAGTCATTATTTGTATGGTTTCTGCAGGCATAATTCAAGCACTTGTTCTATACCGAATGTGTATATTAGTCTAGTATTGAAAGACCAATTATAGAAAAGAATCTGTATTTGCTTTGTTCTATCGTGCAGTGAATCCTGTACGCCGACACGTGGTCAATGCGCTTACTGTGTATAGTAACACCTTCAATGATGCCCCTATAATCCCCTCACAAAAACAATCATTTTTGTGGAAACACTTTTTTAACATTTCGTTTTTATTCCTTGAAAGAATCATCAAAGGTTTCATCTTTACTCCAGAGTCGTTTGAAGGAAATCACTCAGTTCAACATGACCGTTTTTTGGCCAAATTTATGAACATGGCGAAAATCAAAATGGTTCCAACATTTTTGTAGCTGTATCACGGTCTGGTTTCTGGCTCAACGAATAAGCGATAACGTTGTTCGTAACTAGGAATTCGACTGGCTCGGCGTGTTTGCGTGGTGACTGTCTATGGGTCTTTCAAAACTCGGGATTCGTTCCGCTTTAAAAAAGTTAAGGCCTCCGGCAGGCAACTCCGGGGACTCCAGTTAGATGGTGGTGCCTGACACTGCACGTTAATGCTTCAAGAATTGTTAGTCGGTTGATACAAAACCAAGGGTTGGAAAATTCCGTTTGGTTTGCATCTCATTTCATTTCATTTCATTTTATTTATTCATCATGAAAACATGACAATTTGCTTCCCAGTCATAAAAACACACAAAACACATACAGATACAATTAAATAATTATAACACCACGGTGGAAACAAATTGGTCAGTGGTTCAAAATTCAGAGGCAAAGCCGTAGCCAAAGACGAAGCCAAGGTTTCAAAAAAACCCATGTGCGTTGTCAACCATTGAGCATTGTAATACGATATCGCGGTGTTTCGAAAAGCATGCAGGGCACGGTGCGCTGTAGCTACAATAGCTACATGTATCTAGCTCTGTGTACAGGCTCCGTATGTGAGTGGTGTACAGACAGTGTTGTAGGGCCCGGCGCGCTGTAGCTAGCTACGGTGGCTATCTAGCTCTGTGTACAGGCTACGTATGTGAGTGGTGTACAGACAGTGTTGTAGGGACCGGCGCGCTGTAGCTAGCTACGGTGGCTATCTAGCTCTGTGTGCAGGCTCCGTATGTGAGTGGTGTACAGACAGTGTTGTAGGGACCGGCGCGCTGTAGCTAGCTACGGTGGCTATCTAGCTCTGTGTACAGGCTCCGTATGTGAGTGGTATACAGACAGTGTTGTAGGGCCCGGCGAGCTGTAGCTAGCTACGGTGGCTATCTAGCTCTGTGTGCAGGCTCCGTATGTGAGTGGTGTACAGACAGTGTTGTAGGGCCCGGCGTGCTGTAGCTAGCTACGGTGGCTATCTAGCTCTGTGTACAGGCTCCGTATGTGAGTGGTGTACAGACAGTGTTGTAGGGCCCGGCGCGCTGTAGCTAGCTACGGTGGCTATCTAGCTCTGTGTACAGGCTCCGTATGTGAGTGGTGTACAGACAGTGTTGTAGGGCCCGGCGTGCTGTAGCTAGCTACGGTAGCTATCTAGCTCTGTGTGCAGGCTCCGTATGTGAGTGGTGTACAGACAGTGTTGTAGGGCCCGGCGTGCTGTAGCTAGCTACGGTGGCTATCTAGCTCTGTGTGCAGGCTTCGTGTGTGAGAGGTGTGGGGACAGCGTTGTATACAATACAATGGGTTTGCTTGCCCGCGATGTGTGCGCGCTGCTGTCAATGAAGGAAATGAGACACGTTCCCCGCTGGGGGCGCCCCACCGTTCCACCTCCCTTCCCCCCGCCTTGAGTGATGGCGATACTAGTATAAAATAATTTTCCACATTTAAGCTCTTCTTATTTTGACTTTGCGACGTCAAAAGTACTGATGCCACTTTTCCGAGTTCCGGATTGGCTTAATCAGTTCTGAATCAATCGAAAACTGCTTCACGCAAAAAAAAAATATGTGAGAAATTGATTTTTCATTCAGAACCCCACCGAATCAAGCACATATTTTGATAAAGTATTAGGCCTATATAATTTTTCAAAAAACTGTTCATTCAAGAGAATTCCAGCAATTTAAAAAAAAAGAGAGTAAGCGTGAATGATTTTGAAACTTTGGTCTACAGCGTGAATGCACGAACACGCACAGACTGAAAACCTTTGACCAATCACAGGCCTAATTCACATGAAATTGATTAATGCACTTGAAGTTTGGTCCTACATGCACACGCGTTCCAGAACGAGGCAAAAACATACTGTCACTTGTTGGCAAATATTTTAATATTAGAGACTCTACAACTTATTTCGATTCAACAAACATTTGATGCAAGTGTTTATACAACTGTCGAGTACGAACAAAATATTCGAAATCACATGGTCGGAGTGATGCACCGAGGAGAAAATTTATCGTTGATTCGTGGCTCCCGTGATTTTCTACAAACCGTCCAAACATGTCAAAGTGCGAGTAGGAAGTCTGGCCAACATGTTCCTTTTCAAAACGCACTTTGTTAGAAAAAAAAGTATTGGAGACCAATTCAAAAGAGGTAGTTTTTTATTTCAAACGATCTGGAATTAGGAAAGCGACTGCAATATTAAGAGGATAATATTTCCTTCGACCATAATATAGTTGGTTAAGGCTTGCTGTTGTTTTTTTTTCAGTTGAAATCAGTACTGACTGGAGAAAAGGTTGATTTAAACACCAAGGAATTTATGGGCTGCAAGATCTCAACCAAGGCCTTCCAGCAGCTTACTCCGCATGAAATTCGAGATCTCAAGACAGTGTTTGATGCTTTTGCAGATTCAGAAGGGTGAATGGAACAACTTTGCTGATTTCTTACTGTCGACCTGTTGTGAGGAGTGCAGGGCAAGCCCCATATACCGCTGCTACTGTATATCTATGGACTGGACATAAGCCTGCATTATGTAACATTTGAAGTTGTTTTTGCAAGCACACCCTGTGCTATAAGGTTTTTCCACTTAAGATGTAGTGAAATTTGTGGATTTACAATGTTTGCATGTTTGAGAGCACCACTCAAGAGAAGTTTTCTGACACAAAAATTACGTGAACAGGGCGTTTCAAAAAAAGGTTAACCTACATTAAACTTAAAGTACCAGCCAAGAGCATGTTATCATCTTAAAGCAAAAGCTACATGCTTTTCGGTGATACCTTGGTTGACCGGCCGTCCTGGGTCTCACATCGTTGAGCACCATTGTCTTGAACACAAGGTGCAAAATTTGGGTTGGTTCACTTTTGTGTGGAATAAAATCGGCACAGTGGGCTGGAGGACATTCCAGATGTTGTTTGGGTTTTTTTGTAGATATTTGTATGATACTTTTTTAATATGTTTCTCTCTTTGTCCATATAGGATGATACGAGCAGATGCTGTTCGAAGAACAATGAGGGCCCTTGGCTTCAAGCTTACAAAGCAACAAGCCCAGGCGATGGTTGCTGACATGGATCTGGACAGATCTGGGTATCAAAAGTCATTGGAATTTATATTTATCTCTATTATATTTATATTTTTTTACTTGGCAAAAAGTAAACAAGGTTCTTGGTAACTGCTCTGATGGGAAAGAAATTTTCTCTAATCCTGCAGATATCGCGGACTCCTTTAATTCTTACATTTTTATAATATCGGCCCATCACTTGCCCATAAGATCCCCTCGACTAACACGCACTTCATGGATTACCTGCACCAATCTAACACCACTTCTAGTTCTTTGTTTTTCTTCTGCCAACAGATTCTGTTGAGATAATGGAGATTAGTAATAACCTGTGCGGAAACACCAGTCTAGGATTTGATGGAATTTGTTCATCTGTTGTTAAATCTATTATCTCTTATATCGCCCATCCTTAAGCTTATATTTTCAATCCTTCCCTGTCTACTGGCTCCGTTCCATTAAACCTTAAAGTTGCTAGGGTCCAGAACTATCATCCTATTTTAGTTCTTCCTTGTGTCTCCAAATTCTTGAGAGAATCGTCTACAACCGACTTTCTAAATTTCTTTCCAAAAACAACGCCTTTTTTCCTTATCAATTTGGTTTTCATCCTGGTCATTCCACGGATATGGCTCTCATTCATCTCACTGATTGTATCTCTTCTTCTCTCTATAAAAAACTGTACGCTGCTGGTATCTTCGTGGATCTTTCCAAAGCCTTTGACACTATTGACCACAACATTCTCATTTCTAAACTTGATTTCGATGGTGTCAGGGGCTGTGCCCTTGATTGGTTCAAGATGTACTTACATCAAATCAGTTCACTATCATCAACGATATTGACTGTTATTGGAAATATATCATCTATTCTCGGGCCTCTACTCTTTCTTTTGTACTCAGTGATATTCATTATTCTTCTTTAACCTTGTATTTTCTACTATTTGCTGACAACACTACTGTCACTTTCTCTATCTCTAATCTCCACTATTTGTTTAACACTTTAAATGGTGGACTCATCAATGTTTGTTCTTGGTTCAACTCAAAAAAAACTTTCTCATAATTCAGGTAAAATAAAATTCATGCTCTAAGGTAAATCCAATACTTGCCCTATTTTTCCTTTTCCTGTTTGCATTAACCTTGAGTCAAGTCTGGGGGGGGGGGGGGGATCTGTCCATAATCTGTGCATAATCGTCGGTTTTGAACAGCCCTTACTATCTACAATACTGTCATTCTTCCATCTCAACTACTCCAACATTGTCTGGGCGCACTCTAGTAATAGTCAAATATTTTGTACAGATTTGCCCTTTTCCAGTCAAATGCCCTTATTTTCACCAGCACTTAACCCCCCCCCCCCCAAAAAAAATGTTTTCTGAACATTTGCCGTTTTATAAAAAGAAGTCGTGCCCTTTTTTGTGCCAGCAGCCGTGCCGGGTGCCTCGTTTTTTTATTTCGTGCATGTATCGCCCTGAAAAGCACCTTATATTGTCCGTTAGTGTGCATAATCGTCAGTTTTGAACAGCCCTTACTATCTACAATACTGTCATTCTTCCATCTCAACTACTCCAACATTGTCTGGGCGCACTCTAGTAATAGTCAACTGTATTATCTTATTACCATCCAAAAACGAGCCATTAGAATCTGCACCCTTTCTTCTCCTCGGAACATAATGCACCTCTTTTTGCCCAACTTAATACACTAACTCTCGCAAACTTCTACCCCACTAACCCCCACAAACTTCTACCCCATGTATTTTCATCCTTGTTTCTAGCTGTTCACAACATCCATGGCCATAGCACAAGATCATATAACAATCTTGATGTTCCTTTCACTCGCACATCATACTCCATGAACACAATTCGATTTCACGGGCCACGTCTCTGGAATAACATCAGCTGAACGGTGAAAACACAGTCGTCTGTGGGCCGCTTTAAGAACTCCTTCAAAGCTGAATTGATCTCCCATTACATAGCATAGCTTTTCTCTCGCTACCGTGCTTATTTAATCCTCCCGTCTGCTGAGTTGTTTTTTTTAATTCTTTTTCTCGCTCCTAGTTCAGGCAGGCACACTTAACTTCATTATAAACTCTGCAGATAGTTCAGATAATTGTTCATATCTTTTGTTCTTGTTTGTTCATGCATGTTTGTTTTGCCCGTTTGTCCTTGCCATCATATTGCTGATTTAATCATTTATTATTTGTAAACGAGTAATAGATTTGTGGATTATTTACATTACTTCTTGATTCAATATTGTTTGCTCCGTTCCTCCTTTACTTCATACCCATTATATAGTATCTTCTTTTTCTCTCCTTATTCACTTTCTCATTAATGTTGTTAATTCATAGACTCATTGTTCGTTTTGTATAATTCTCAGCAATATTGAAAACAAATGCATGTATTAATGAATGAATGAATGAATGAATGAATCTCTAATTTCCAGGGTCATAATTATTTTTTACTTTTCCCTCACACACATGTACTGCATTGTCGTTGCTTCGAATCCAGCAACTTACAATATTCAATTTTAATCCAAAAGCTATAATAAATGTTCTTACTCATTTTAGGACCATTGATTTCAATGAGTTTCTGGAGTTCATCATTGATAGGCAGGGAACAGCAAGGGACATCTATGCAGAGATTCAGCAGGGTTTCCGCATGTTTGATTATGGTCAGTGATCTGCCAGTTTATAAATTTAACCAACTGGCCTTTATTTTTAATTCAGGAAATTACTAAGATAGGGGTACACATAAGTTTTAAAAATAATTGCATGGTAATATTTCACTGGGGCAACGTTCTTTTAAGAATTCAGGCAAAAATGATTTAATTTCAAAACATAATTAACATATCGAGCATCAAGTTTGCAAAATCATAAGTACATGTGTATTTGTTGCAAAAGAGTTATTAAAAATTAGTCGATCTGAAGTTGTCATATCAAATGACCACTGAAGAATATCTAACCAGAGGTTTGACATTCGTTTTTGGTGGAAACACAGCACAGGGTGATTGGGCACGACACCATTATTGTTTTAGTTCAGTTATGAATAAGTCACTGTACAAATGACAGAAATAATGAAATGCCAACTCAGTTTATGCATTTTGTCATTTGACTAAATGCAGTAGAAGAAAAATACTTTCCTTGACAATAAGACCTACACCAAATTGTTTGTGTGCATGCATTGATTTACATTCTTCCGGTTCTTCCAAGTTCTGTGCCAACTTCTATATTATTGAAGACTAAGGCACATTGTTGGGTGCGCAACTTGTGGATGGAGTGCATAGCCTACTATTTTGACATTGGTGCCCATTAGTTATGCAAGTTTTAATCGCTTTTAGAATTAATTGTTTTTAATATAATTGTCTTTTGGAATTTGGCCCTTTGGGCCACGATTTGAGACAAATAAAAGAAATGAATGAATGAAGTGAATGAAATCTACGTAAACTTTGAAGGGTTGCAAGCCTCTACAATAGATTCGGGAAGCTTGTTTCATTGACTTAGTGTGGGGAAAGAAAGATCTGGTATTATATAACAGACATACAGATCCTTGTCATTTGATTGGTGGAACTCAAAAAGTACTATCCACCCATGGGGAATGGGAAATACTGTTCAACAGTTAGGATCATTCTTGTTCCATGACGCGGTATTTGTGTGCAAATGCATGCTGGTGTGCGCGTTCAGCTTTGCGTGTAGCACGTATTGTTCTAAAGAGCCAGCGCTACAGCGTTGGGTTCAAACATTATCGTGAAGGGGTGGTTTGGAATGTTGACGGCAGCCAAACCACGGTGAATTTTGTAGAACATCGTGAGTCTTGCTATTGTATGCCTATCTCCAAGGGTTTGCCACTGAAGAAATGTCAGCATTGCTCCAACACTTGACGGTCGGTGATAACGATTCAAAACAAATCTTGCTGCACGCCTCTGCACCATTCCAAGATTGTTTGTGAATGGATCCCAGACTACTGAGCTGTATTCCATAAGAGGCCTAACATGAGATTTGTATCCTAATTGCTTGATGTGTGAGTTGCGAACTTTGAGGTTACGCCTCAGGAAGTTTAAGGACGTCATAACATGTAGCTGATATAAATACATGTATGTGTGCAACAATTAGGGCCTACCACGTAATATTTGGGGCATTCTCATTAAACCTTTGAATAATCTGTTTGATTATAACTGCTTTCATTTTTATGTTATATCCATTTATCATTGCACTTCCGGTAACACCAAATGTATCGACGTCGGATGTTTTTGTTTGCCAAGAATAACAAAATATTGCTCAAGACTATATCTACCACACCGCATAAAATGAACATAAGTACTCCATTTGGTAAAAAGATATAGTTCAAGGTAGTTTGTCAAGTTTTGACCTCAGATCGTTTGTAATATGTTTTCTGATATCATGATGACATTTCAAATCTCTGGACAATGTTTCAAGTTTTTGCAGGTTTTGTCTTCATCTTCTGAACGTTTGGAAGAAAACGTGTTAATTTTGATTCTGAGGTGTTCATTGAGGGTCTATTACAAAGTACATGTATGAACATGATTTTCATGAGCAATAATTGAAACAGTTAGCTCAGTAAAATAAAATTGCCTGTAATTTGATACCTCATGATGATATCATGATGTCACACTTGTATGCACATGTTTGGATCACGGTTGATAGTCTTACACATTTTCAAGTTCATGTGTTTTTGCAGAGAATTAGCATCTAGAGAAAAAAAACATCCACAACAAAGAACGAAGAAAGAACCAAGACAGAACTAGAGGGTTTCGTGGATCAGCCCGATCACCCAATTTAAAATCAGTGTTCAAATGGCGGAACAGGGAATATGCAAGATCCAACAAGCAATTTATGAAGCCCTGTTCATTGAAGCTGAAGTAAAAGATTTGTTCTCTGCCAAGTTCAACTCATTCAACATATTTCCCCCGCTTTTGGATTCTGTTTCTATCAGAAAAACAAAATTGGATTAGGATTTGAAGCCAGCATCCCTCAGAACATCATCATGGCACAACTACAGACTTCGCTATGAAGCCCAGTGTAGTCTCCCAATTAGCCATTGTCTTTGGTCAAGGGGCACTGGTTGCTTGGAAGCTATGTGTCCATTTGTTATGTCTGCAAGGATCATAACCAGCATGACCAGTCAGTTTCCATTTGTGGTTCCTTTTATGGAATATTTGGGGTTTTTTTTATCTTCAGATGGAACAGGCCAAATCTCCTTGGACAACTTGAAGAAGGCATGCAAGGAGGCAGGTGTCAAGTTCACAGAGCAGGAACTACGAGACATGATTGAGGAAGCTGACCGGAATGGAGACAACTTTGTGAACCTGGAAGAATTTACCAACGTTATGCTCAAGACCAATCTGTTCTAATGCTGTGTGTTCCAATTGACTCCATGCATGAATGCGAGGGATCCGGTGGGTGGAAGGGCCTGTGCCCGAGCTATGGCATGAAGAATGCACAACTGATTTTGGGACGCTTTTTTAACAATTTCTTCCAACCTTTAAGGTCAGCTTTACCAGTAACCAGTATTAACGTTTCGGCATCCACTTTTTCACTGACATGAAGTTTAGAATTTCTTCTTCCATTATAATTTAACCTTTCAATCATACTGAGAATATATTTCTAAGAAAACACAACGTTCAAAAGGCCATGTTTTTTGGGGTGCATGAATTTCATTGCTCTGTTATAGTGTTTAAGTACGTAAAGCGGATTAACTTTACTTAAAGGGAATATACAACATTTGCAAACATCGAAAAATAAAACTACCAAGTTTTTGCGAAATACCTTCACAGGATGTTGGTAAATGACAGTCTAAAGCATCCTGTAAAATTATGGCACCTGGTATACTGTCATTTTCAAGAAAAGTGGTATTTTTGTATCAATTTCCAACGCTGATCGGCCGATCAGCGTTGGAAACAACTGGCTTTTTTTTCAAATACTGGCCCCAATTGACCATTGCACTTGTTTGCAATCGATTACAAACCTATGAATGGGTACGAGCCAGCTAGACTGGTTCCCTGACCTTACAATTCCCCAATGTATGTAAACTGCTCTGTTTCTTCTTATATGGAGTCAGGGAACCAGACTACAGGAAAATGATCGTTTTTCTTGGTTTTTATAGCATTTTCGAACCCAAAACCTCCAAAAAGTCAGTTTAACTATATTTGCTTTATATTTCCAACCCCCCAATTCCATCCATTTCTGAAAATTACAGCAAAAGCAAATGATGTATATTCCCTTTAACAACGTGCCACGCTTTGCCTTCGCAACCACGAAGGCACAGTAAGATCGTGAAGAAACGGTCATCTGTTATGGAGGTAGAACACTGAGCAAGGTCGAAAGGAAATATAGCACCACTGAGATGGAAGCACTGGCAGTAGTTGGAAGTTTTTAAGAAGTATGCTCCCTATGTACAACACTCTGTGAAATTTATAGTGGTGTGACTGATCATTGTGCCTTAAAATGGCTTTTGAGCAAAAACAAGAAACTGGTCGCCTTGTAAGATGGGCTCTTAATCAGTCCTAAATTCATGGTTCTGTACGTCAAAACTTTATGGCAGATGCTCAATGAGTCTTTGTACTGATTGTGATGACTGTCATGTTACATCATCATGTAACTTTCCCGAGATAAAAGCAGATCTAGTTTGGCACCCTTCAGATTTAGATGTTTTTTTTCAGGATCCCAGATGCTCGACAGAGTAGCCTGTTGTCAGTATTGGCAGAAACTTAAGATATCGAAAAAATAGACATGTAAATAACAGTGATCTAGTCAAACCAAATGTGCCTCCGTCCCTAAAAGATGCATTATTGGTTGACAATATTGCTGGGATCTATTTGACTACTTGAAAAATAATAAATTGCCCTTGAATGAAAGGAAGCAAAAGAAACATTTATGCATGTTGACTATTATTTTGTACAGACAGTGGCAAGTCTATGGGAAAAAAAGATAACTGGCTAGCAAGTGGTCATTCAACTGTATATTTCGGTATGTTTTGTTGACATTGTATTGACTAATTGACTTGATTATGTTTTAGCTGCACAATTCGGATTGCAGAAAACAGGAACTTCCCCCCCCCCCATGCTTCCCCCAAAAAACGAACCCAAATTGTTTGATTTTTTAGTGACTTCTCAAAAAAGGCATCCACCACCTTGTTTTCCTAACAAAAATTAGTTAAAGTTAAAATTGGTCAATTTGTGGACCCACCTTTTGGGGGACCAAATTGTCCCCCCCCCCCCAACAAAACTTGTGTTCTGGATCCCCTGCAAGCCCCTGCAGACAATTCAGTCGGGTTCAGTCCATTCTTCTTGCTTTTTGGTAGAGCAGCCCAATTTCCATTGGATGTGACACTTTTGCCCAATTTGAATTATAAGGACAAGTCTCTGAGAGAACATATACACAATCTAGTTTCTATTAAAGTTACTGGTGTTTTGAGATATTTCAAAACATCATACTTAAGAAAACTAGGCAAAAATGAAAGACGGGTATGATGAAAGTTCTGGACAAGTAAACTATCAGGTTGGTGATCTTGTATGGATTTATATCCCCGTGTCCCAAAAAGAATTGTCAAAGAAATTGATGAAATTTTGGTTGGGACCATATCTCCTTGTACAACAAACGTGCCCAGTGAATTTTTGAGTTACGAACATGCAGAATAATAAATTGGTTTTGTCACCAATATACATGTATGTAAACTGTATGAAGTTTGTGTAAGACCGACAGACTGATACATTCGCCCAAACAACGACAGTTTCCCCACTGATCCTGAACAACAGATTCCATTAGACGTCTTGGTACAGGAAGATTTTCCTGATGATTCGTTCATACCATTGAAAGCTAAATGGGAAAATAAGAAACCAATTCAATTGTTCCTGGAGTAGCCCAAAATTCTTCAGAAAATGTAGAGTTTGAGGTAGAGCGTATTCTCAAAGGCCTGTGTTGTGTGAATATCCAACTCCATGAAATGTGGACTCATTGGTAGTATTGCCCATGCGTAAGTGCTATTTTTAGGATCATTGTGGGGGAGTGACCTGTCACATGCGAGGGATTAACCAATAATAGGGAAAAGGGGTCCGATTTTCATAGGAGTCGGATTTTCATATGACACCGGTATAGAAAAAATCAGATTCAGTATTGATAAAAGTGGCAAAATTGTCCCAGTGCATGTGTAAATATATTTCATGGGAACCAGTACAAAATTTAAATACCGCAAGTCTTGATTACTTAAAGGAAAACCCTGTTCAAATAGTCCTGACAAAGTTGTAACGAGTCACTGATTTTTGTGACTCGAGTCGAGTCGAGTCATTTTAAAGAAGTGACTCGAGTCGAGTCATTAGGTTGAAAGGTCGAGTCGAGTCGAGTCACGAATATTTGAACACTATATACCAAAATTTATAAAAGGAGGCCATAAGTTTAGCCAGCCTTCGAATCCATTAGCTTTATAAGAAATCGCCTAAAGCCAATGATGAAACAGCGAAAAATCTATTATAAGATGGAATTTTGCGTCGGGTGATATAAATCAAATTAGGTTTGCCCTTCTTGCGTTTATACGTCGAAGGGCAAACTAATTTGATTTATATCACCCCGACGCAAAATTCCATCTTATAATAGTTTATGCGGTACCCGCTGCTATGTACATCAGATTCCAACCAGCCAACCGATCCCGTTTGCTCGGTCGATTGGTAAGACATCTGCACTAGAAAGCAGGAGTTCGTGGGTTCGAGTCCCACCCGAGTGTTGTTTTTTTTCAACTTTTACTGGGGAGGTAACACACTGAGTAAACAGTGTTTATACGTCGGTGAAGGGCAAACCTAATTTGATGAAGCGAAAAATCTGGTTCCTGGATAGTATTTTGTGCGTTCTAGAACCATGAGGTGGGAGTCTGTGACATGTTGTATATTCATACATGACTAATTCGCAAAGCGAAGTGAGCATAAATTTTGCACTGTAAGTCATTGCAAATACTTTTCGCAAAGTTGTGCTTGTATTTTTGGGACTCGAGTCTTATTAGCCTCGGTTCGAGTCGAGTCGAGTCTTTTGATGAAGGACTCGAGTTGAGTCGAGTCATTTGCTCGCAGTGACTCGAGTCGAGTCATTTACCCTTAGGGACTCGAGTCGAGTCGAGTCACCAAAAATTGTGACTCGAGTCGAACTCGAGTACTCGAGTCGAGTCATTGACTTGAGTCATTACAACTCTGAGTCCTGAGACCTAATGACGACAGGTTTTGTTTACATGTGCACTTTCCTATGAGAGCCAAGTGGGAAGCATCCCTCCTGGCTCTCATAGAAAAGCGCACATGTAAACAAAGCATGACGTCATGAGGTCTATTACTGGTAACAAAACAACGAAGAAATAAATGTTCTATGCAGTTTATAACCAAGCAGTGGCGCACCCAGGATCTGGCTTTGGGGGGGGGGGGGGCTTTGGACAAACCACTGAACATATGTGTATATATATATATATATATCCAATGAAATCGTCTTCTATCACAATTCACAGTGCTCAATACATCTCTGTAGAGCTATAAACATGCAATAAATTCAGAATATGAGTTAAACAAACTTTGGCATATCTCTCTTCTGGACAGACTGTTTCGTACCATAAGGCACTCATCTGCTGATGAGTGCCTTATGGTACGAAACAGTCTGTCCAGAAGAGAGATATGCCAAAGTTTGTTTAACTCATATTCTGAATTTATTGCATATATATATATATATATAAAAAATAGTAATTTTGTAAACTTCTTGTATTGCTTGTAATTAATTGGCAGGCGCCAATTTGTTAAAGTGGCTGCTCTACTGGGCACGACACCCCTATCCATACCCAAGTTGTCTGCAAGTTTTTTTGTTTGTTTTTTAGAAATTCAGAACCTCAGTGGGCTTTTGCCAGACAGTTATTTGTTTGCCTGAATACAACACAGGGAAACACAGTTATCTGATAGGAAACGACACCAGTTACTGTTAAAGTATCATTTATCAAGGGCTTTTTCTTTATGTTGTGAAGCATTTCTAAGCACTGATAGCTCAGTGAGCCCATTTAATCTTGTGGTGGATTAACCTCTATATACATAATAATGCCTTTATATACGAGCCACGTTGCCATGCTCGTGGCAGTTGGTCTTAGGGGAACCATCAACAGCGTCCATCTTGTTACTTTGTCATCCTTATATTTAATTAATGATTTGAAATGCGAGTTTAATTTCGTCAAATTATTTTGACCCGGATTCCGTTTCACAAATTTCTTCACTTAGTTATCCATTCTCTGATGGTCCTGGTAGAAAACAATAGTATTATGGGGACCGAAGACGTCATGGGGACAGCCAAAAGTCCCCGTAACTCGGTCCTAATTTCCAGAACATTTCAATAATTCCCTTTAACGCGGTGACGGCCCACCCACAATTTTTGACCAAATCTGACCCAAGAATGTTTTTACATACTGTTTGGTCAGTTTTTAAAACAGTGGAACTCGTGATACATGACCTGAAGTATACATCCAAGATATCAGTAGAAATGGGGGGCACCCTGTATATAAACTTGTATCTAGGTAAAAACACCTTTACAAATAAACCTCAGGTATTTCAGATTTCAAAAGACATTCTTTGTTAGTCCTGAAATCGTGAAAAATCCTGATATGAAAAATCCAGACAAATGTCACCCAAGCCGGTCTCTTACTAGAGTTCCAAAGCTGGGAGACAGGTAGCAGTATGAAAATGAGGCGTAGAGATCATTATCCTCGCTGCATGCCCTTTGTTATGGTTTCACAGCGGAGATTGTTACTTCTGTAGTGGTGTTCCCTAACAGGCGCACCTGACTTTTTCCCCCCGACTTTCCTCATGCAGTGTTGTCAAACCTCTCCGTAGAAAAACTTCAAATTCATTCAGTTAAATACTGGTACTGTAACCTTAATAATGCTTGCTGTTGAACCTTTGTGAACAATTTTAGTGTCATGAAATTAAGTCTGAAATTCAAAAACGGTGGCGTCCGGAAATTGGGCACAATTTCGGCCGTGTGTTCCCTAACGTGGCGCACTTGAACAGAAAATCCCACATTAACATCTAAGAATTTCTTTAAAGTTGATAAAATCTGATAAATCATTATTATCTCCACTCACATACGCAACTTTGTCAGCAAATTATTTTCTTATTTTTGGGCGAATTTTAAAAGGGTTCATTGTGCACTTTGAAAAAAAAATTGGAAAATCACGCCAAAAGAGAATTTCCCTAGAACTTTGTAGCGGGTACGTAAACACAAGATTTATGAATGGAAATGTTTAGAGCTTAATGAAATTTCACTTTTTGTGAAATTTGAGGTAACAATTTTGCTCTAACAAGGCACTAGAGGTGAAAAATGTAAGTGCACCACGTTGGGCGCCGCGCCACATTAGGGTACATCAACAATATACAGACCCCAAAATACATATTACATTTGTACTTGGTAATTCAAATCACCCAGCAGCTGGCAAAAAAAATATGTTTTTATGGATATAACTACATGCAATCGGAAGTTTACAACTACAGCAGCCGATTTCACGAAGCCTAACGCAATGGCGCAACTCTGCTTGCTCCACAATTTAATGCATAAGTTGGACAACATTTCACTTATGACACACCACGAAAGTCGGATAGTGCGTAAGTCTGCGACTTGCACCATATATTATGGCATAACTTGCGCAATCATTTTAGGTGGCATAAGTTGCTGCACAGTGACTGAAAATGAAATATTTTACCAGCCCGTTATTGCACAACTTAACAAGGTTGATACAAGACACTCACAACCTTATGTTTGAAGTTGATGAATTTCTATTTTACTTGTAACATAATTTTTAGAGTTGCTGAACAATTCCAAAGAAAGTGGGACGAAATAATTTTCAAAATGGTGGGCTGAGGTGATCCAACGACTGTTTCGCGAAAGAACAAATTCACATCCAAACAGCCGTCGTAAATGCTGTTTTTATCCTCGTCCAAGATGTTTAAATTGTTCAAAACATTGCGCAGCTATGCCAAGTTTCGTAAAATTGTTCGTAAGTTTATTGCGTGGCTGCGCAACAAATCTGTTGTGTAAATCTTATGCATGGCACAAGCTATGCACAGTTTCGTGAAATCGTTCGTTGCTAAATAACTGAGCAACAAATTTGTTGCGTAAGTCTTACGCATGGCGCAAGCTATGCACAGTTTCGTGAAATCGGCTGCTGTACATGTACTACAGGGTGACCCAAAAAAATGCAACCCTAAAAACATTCGCCTTAAAAAAAAAGGGGGGATCAGTGGATTTGTATGTTTTTGGTATCAGATTACAGCTGAGAGCTTCTTTCAAATACCGAAAACACCATAAAAATGTCATTTTTCATACTGTACACAAGTACTTTAAACAGTGAAACAATTAACAATTAGCCTTCTGCGCAATTATCCTTCATTTGTGCAATAAATATAATTTTTTTACATATTTATGATGCTGAAAGGGTTTAAAATAGGACTATAAAGGGTGAGATACCTGTTCAGGTGGAAAGTAAAAGGTATTTCCATCAAATTCATTTGTACTCTTGTCATATTATGTGCCATGTTCTTTGCAAGGATTAGGACATGCACAAAAAGGTACATGTACAGTGAAAATCCCTTACATGGTAATGTTTTGTGTACAGGATGAAAAATGAATGATTTTTTTTCAGTAGTTGAAAGAAAAAGCTCTCAGCTTTTAATCTGACACCAAAAAATAAAAATCAACCAAAACAAGGCAAATGTTTTAGGGTTGCATTTTTGGGGGGTGTCACCCTGTACTGTCACTCTTAACCTGTGTACGTCCAGCAAGATTGGCTTGGAAGTTTAAACTTGGGCCTCTAGGATCACCATTTGCAACATTTCAATTTCTCTATGCAGTAGGTGCATTTTAGAGAACACGTTCAAGCCTCACTGGAACTGGAGCTGCTAGGTCATTCTGTTCAGTTGGAAGAATCCTTATAGCAGCACTGGAAAGTTCATTAGGAATGGTGATGATTAGGGGCCCTTGGTGCGTCTGGTCATATTGGATCAAGTAGACCTGGTCTCGTGGAGACGGAAGGGTGTCACAGGTTGTATAGACATTTGGTGGTGTGACGGTATCTGGGCTGCTAATCTGCGCTATTGCATAGCTTGGAGGCTGGCCTATGACAGGCACAGGGTCTAATCTCTGGATCTGAATTGACCCTATGGTTGGGCTTGGTGGTGAAGGAGTTGGAGATGGAGAAGGAGTTGGAGATGGAGAGGGCGAGGAAGAAGATGATATACAGATCACATCATCGTCAATACCTTCTTTTGTAACTTCCTCTAGATCTTCGGAGCCTGTTGTCTCAGAGTCTGTTGCTTCGTCTCCACTGTCCTTGATATTGGCCGTGTTGCACCCGCTTTGCATGTGCTGCTTCAGCCTACTCTTAAAGGTGAACGCCAGTCCGCAGATATGACAGACATGCGGCTTCTCATTGGTGTGGATTCTCTCGTGACGGGCCATTTTGCTCTCTTTTCTAAAGCTCTTGTCACAGTACCTGCAGGGGAACGCCTTAATCTTCTTCTGTTTTACCGCCTTGTTGGCAATGGCACTACCAGCTGTGGGTTCATCCACGGTGCTGGTTGTGGCGATGTCGGCTAAGTGGTACATCTTAGTGTGTTCTAGTAGCTCCTTTTGGGTGACCAACTGTTGCAGGCAGAAGTTACACTTTAAAACAACTGATTTGGTCTTTGGCTGCATGACCTGATGCGTGTCGGCGTTGTGCTTGTTCAGCAGCAGCCGTGTTGGAAAAACCTCCCCACAATGTCCGCATGAGTAACACTCCATTTTGTCAGGGCGGTGGCTTTGGTAGTGGCGCCACAGTAAATTCAATCTCCCGAAGAACTTGCCGCAGTAGCTGCAGGGGTACGTCAGGAGTACTCGAGAAGCACACTTTTTGACGTGCTGCTCGTGCTTACGTTTGCTCTCGCTGAGCTTATCACAAGCACCACACATGTAAGGCCCGACTCCCGTGTGAACTGATTCGTGTTGGATCAGTTCCTGGGAAGAGGGAAAAGCCAAGTAGCAAGTAATGTACCGGCACATGTAAATCTGACCGAAAGATGTCCCAAAACTAGCTAGGTATTTCTTGTTGATACAGTTCAACGCATGGTTCTTTAGATGCTGACGGTAATTACGCTGCTTGATCATTACTTTGCATTCCGGACAACGTTGACTAGCATTCATGCCGTGTGATGTATGTATCGGTTCTGGTCTACTGTTGGATGCACACCTCTTCGAAGAGGATAGTTTGGCATACAGGTGGTTTGTACCTCTGGAAGACTTTCGGTATTTTAACGAAGGCTCTGATCTTTTGGATGAGACTTTTTCTATGGGCTTTGAACGGGAGTCGACTCGATGCACAGACCTTTCATGGTCATGCAATAACTCGGCTGACTGGTACGAACAATCACACTTTTTACATGGAAACTCTCTCCGGGCCATCACAACTTTGTCCAGATTCTCCGTTTGCTTCATTTGACGGTTCTTCGCCTTGGTTATGTAGCATCGTAATCTGTGTCTTTCCATGTAGCTCTTCTCTAGTTTCAATCCGCACTCACAAGCCAAGGCATCCTGGTAACACACTTTTTTGTGCTCCTTGAGATACCGTTTCCTGGGGAAAGACTGGCCGCAATTCTTGCAGGTGTGTTTATCCTCGGACTTAATTGTCTGTTTATCCAAGTTTGGTGTTCGGATGGTACACACATCCAATAACGTGGGAATCTTGAAGCGACATGTGGTTTCATGCTTCGCACACTCACTGATATTACAGAACCGTGCGTCGCAGTGCTTACACGCCTGTTGCATGGTCGAACCCCTACGTGGCATTCTTCCACACTGAAGCCAGCGACATAAGTTCACAAGGGGCTGTTAATCTACTCATACAACTGTTGGTTGTTTCGGCGTTGAATTCAAAGTTCCAGGTTCGTCAAAGAAACTGGTAAGAGAAAAAATACAAAATAGTTGGTCATATTCACAATCATATTCATGTAAGGAACATCTGGTTTCAGGTTTACCATTATGATGTTGCGTGTAGGCCAAGAATAAATGATGTATTATTCATGATCCAAAACAACCAGTAGCGTATGGTATGGGGACATCATTCGGGGTGAACTAGTGTGGACGCTGTTCAAATCAGCCAGTTTTGGACATTATGGCCACGTCCGCATTACTAAGCTGCGGCTGGAAATAACACATGGGTCTAAGGGATGTGGCTGCAGCTGATTCCATAGGCGTATGCGTAATGTCCAGCTGTACGAAGTTATTCAGACATGGCCTGTCTATCGCATATAATAATGCCTCACCAACAGATTCTGTATCTTGATTGAATTTAAATATTGTGATTTCTTTATCTATAAAGATCTTTGTGTACACTGTAGCTTTGTAATTGATATATTTCTTGATGATTTTACTCATTATTGAATATAAGGTACCAATAAATGTACTAAGTTCATTACTAGAATATAGTAGGCCTTAGCCCAATCGTCCAAACTAAAAATGGCTGCCGCTATAGGCCTACACTATCATCCACGCCGCACCCATGAACATGTACACTGTACATTCATAATGCTACGATAGTGGCTATATTACAGGATCCGGCTTTCTTTTTTATGGACATTGATATTAGGCCAGAGAGATTTTAGAGCACCCTCTTTGACACATAGACGAGTAGGCCTACATGTACATTATAATGTATTACATCACCACCGTCGATCAAGCAGCACGTGTGGCAGAATGGCCAGTGCTTAAATATGCGAATGAGAGATCCCGGGTTCCAAACCCCTCTCGCGCTCATTTTACATTTTTGTGGTATTTTAGGGGTTTTTGCAAAAACATTAAGAATATTCTTCTTTTAGTATTTAAATTGACTTCTATATTGGCAGAGTTATTATTACATTTTTTTTTCTGATTCGGGACTTTGGAGGATTTTTTAATAAGGGAAATAAAATCTGAAATTGTAAAGGGTCTGATTTGCATCTCTTGGATACGAAGTCACAACAATGTTGGTGTGGAACCAGATTAATATTTGCCATGGTAAACATTTCGGAAAGAATGTTGTAACCTGACGCCACTTCAGCGGTTGTGAACAAAGTCTATGGAGAGCCAAGAATTTTTTTTTAAGTATTTCCTTGCAAAATTGGAAAGGTTTCTCAGTCCCAGATTCATGTCTTATCATCATTTTTGCAATGATGACTGACTCTCCTTGAGATGATATATGAAGAGGAAAAAAAAAAAAGTCCCCAAAAACAGTCACTGAGCATGTTCAGTACTGTTCCAGCTTAACATCGTTAACTAATAAAGCCGGCACTGGCCAATATCTACTGCTGTAATGATTATCAATATCATGCATGTGCACGAAGATAATGGCTCCTGGCTAGAATGTTTCCTGAGCCCCCTAAAAATATTGGAGTCTGAAGGACAATGGGAACAGGGAACCAGACTAGCTCATAGCTAGCATCAGATAGACAAATCACAGGGCGCTTCAATTAGTCACCTGGATTAGTCACCATGGCAACCAATCAAAGTGCCCTGTGATTGGTCTGTCTGATGGTAGCCAGGAAACAGTCTAGCCAGAGCCATGCACAAGTCAAATTTTCCTGAATTCAAAATAACAGCATCAAACAAGGCGTGTGCAACGAAGGTGAAATTTCTCTCTTCTTCCCAAAGGTATGTGAACCTAACCACCACCATTTGTATTTTCAATTCCCGAGAAAGCCTACAGGGGCGCATAAGGCAGTTTGAAGACTGTTTTAGGGTGTATGATGAAAATTATTGGAATCTGATTAATGGTAGTCGCAATAGGGATATGATCCTCGGAGTCTACTACATGTATTGTCCAACCATGTCCAAATGTTAAAAAAGGCGATTCGTAGAGTCCTAGTTTACTCGGACTATGCATGTTCCAAAGGCGATTAGTAGAGTCCTAGTTTACTCGGACTATGCATGTTCCAAGTGTGACTTTTATTTACGGAGGTAGTCCAGAGGGTGTCGGTCACTTTGCCGAATTTCCACTTCGCCGACAACCTCTTCGCTGCCACCACTTCGCCTATTTGCGCCACTTCGCCGAATTACCACTTCGCCTATTTGCCACTTCGCCTACATGTATTTACCACTTCGCCGAATAGGCGAAGTGACTAGGCTACAAGAAGGCTCCATGCATACGTACGTATATGTACCGGTACATGCACAGTGGTGTGGCAGCTCAGTGGACTTTCCTCATCAGTGTTGTCAAACTTGAAATTCATTCATTCAGTGAAGTACCTACCGGTATCATTACCTATACCTCATTGCTTGCCATTTAACCTCTGTGAACAATTTCGGTGTCATGAAATTTAGTCCGAAATTCAAGAACGGTGGCGTCCGGCAATCAGGCACAAAGTCGACTGAGTGTTCTCTAAACGTGACGCACTTGACTAAATCTTGGAAAATTCCAGCTTACCATACCCAACTCTACTTACCATACCCTGTAATGAACAAGCATGGTGCACTGTGCAATTCGAAATAAAATTGGAAAATCACACCAGAAGTTCCCTGCTATCTTTGATAATGGCAGATACTATAACTTGCGAGTTATGAAGGGAACTTGATGAAATTTCACTCATACTGTGAATTAAGCGCTGCAGGTGAAAAAACAAAGTGCGCCACGTTGGTCCATGGAATGAAAAAAGTTTAATCTCATCTGGGTTTTGATAATAGGGGAAAAGGACCAATTTAGTGGGGCCAAACATGCCCAAAGTTCTTGGCCGGCCGCCATTCTTCACTGTACTCAGCGAGCATGGGCGTAAGTGGCAAATGTGCGAAGTGCCAATTCGGCGAAGTGGTCACATTAATTTGGCGAAGTGGCAAATCCTGTTAGTTAGTGTGACGTCATCTCAATTCAACCATGCATACTTCGCACAGTTGTAGAATAGCGCGAATGGAACCGGAAGTTAACGTACCTCGAGCGTTTATCCAATGGTTCGCTCGGTCCCCCTCGCCCTGCATACAAGACGCTGGTGACTTCACGCTCTGATTGGATAGATTTTACATGACCTGTGACCTGCAAATCATCACGGCCACAACCCTGCAGTTGGCGCCATGCAGTTGGCGCCATTCCTTTGTACACAAATTTTGTTTGTGCACAAATCAACGTCTGCTGTGGCCAGCGACGCTAACTCAATCGGCTGTCGGTAAGGCCAAAAAAAAAAGTCTCTGGTTTCTGGTATGCGCGCGCCTCGCCATAGCCATGTGCGTCGGCAAAATTAAAAAGTTTTTTTTTTCAATGTAAGATGATGTCTCAAAACCGCCAAATCCACTGGTTTGACTGGAATCCTGCTGCTGCACAATTTTAACGTGTTTTTAGATGGGGTTACGATCAAGTATAAGCTTTATGTGGCCTATTCGGGCTCCCATACATTTTGCACAAAATTTAGTCGGGCACCATTTGCAGTCATCAGCCGACATTTGAAGAAAAAAAAAGCCGCGTCGCCGCACCACTTTTGGGGCAAGCTCCATACCAGAAACCGACGACTTTGGTGGGGGGGGGGGGGGGGAGCGGGCCCAATTCCCTCTTTTTTTCACTGTAATTGTAAGCTGACTCTTCAGCGTAGATCGTTATTTTCTTCAAGAACCTGTGTAGTGATTATGCCGAGCAAGGTTTGGGTGAGTCCACTCCCAGGTGGAATTTAGTCATTAGTGTGTTACGGGGACAGAATAGCACATTTTCAAATTCAATTACATAACTGCTAGTTCATGTTGACGATTTCCTCCAGACCTAGTCCGAGTAATTTGGACCCAACTAAATGCCTTTTTAACAGTCGGACATGATCTATATTACCAGACCATGTTCGAATGTTAAAAAGGCGATAAGTTGGGTCCAAGTTACTCGCACTAGGCCTGAGGTAACTCCAGTCATCTGTTCCTAGCTCTATTTATATACTGCAGCTATAATCAGTGGTGCGTGCACGTATGACTTTTTACTAATGAACCGGATTGGCGAAGTGGTATCCCTGATCCTCCTACTTCTGCGCAGATAAGGCTTTGCAACCCAGTAGCTTCAAAATAGCAAAGCAACCACTCTTTTCCTCAACAAAACTTATATTGTTGGCTTGCATTCATCCACCGTAACGATTAACAAAGTGAAATCTCTTTATTTGTGGCAGCAAGCGGGGAATTCCAAAGCGTGCAGTTTTGGCGTTTTAGAAAAGAATCCTGCCTAATTCTGCGCAGGGGACGCTTCATGAAAAATATGTGCTGTCCGGGCCATGTAACTCAATATAAACATTTTTTTTTAATAACTTAGACTTGTTGGCTTTAGGAAAATATATTTCCTGAGCTTTTTAAACATATTTTCTTTCTTTTTTCTTTCTTTTTTCAATGCCAATACACTTTTCGTAATTTCAAGATTATTTCAATATCCTATTTTGGAGATTTACACAAAGGCCTATATTTACATATTTACATTTAGATTTTTATACACATTTACCTATTAAATGTAGATCCCAATGATATTGTTATTCTGATCATCCCAATCAACAGAGACAGTTTTTAAGATGTCGGATTTTAAAACTGATGACCAAAAAAATTCAAAGATAATACTAGAGGTTCGCGTTTGTTGTTACAAACGCAGAGTGGTCGGGCAGCAAGCCCGCGGGAATGGGGGGTGCTGTGGGTGCTGTAGCACCCCCAACTGTTTGGATTGGGGTGCTGCAGTATATAATGCTAAGTCCGATTGGGTTGAAACTCGGTATGTAGGTAGACCGGGATGTGCTGGAATATACTTCAGCACCCCCTTACTCCCGGGCAAAAATGTGTTCCAGCCAGCAGTGTTCAACGACGATGAAATTGCGCCGCTACGTTATACATTATGCTTGCTCTACAAATATCTCCTTCATTTTTGTTTCTAGTTTTGCCGCGGCTAAGCGCAGCACTTCGAAAGTCTAGCACAAACCTCCTCTT